TACGGTTCCCGAAGAAAAACGCCTTCGTCGGTGTGGGCTACCGCGAATTATGTCGTGCACTAAAGTCTTAGGCACCCATTTGGAAAGCCCTCCTTCCCATCTGTCTAGTTCCTCCTCTCAATGCGGCTATTGGTAATAGTAGTAATCTTTTCCGTTTAATTAGGAATACGGGTCCTATGAAAATAAGCGTAAGTGAGGTAATTAAAGAATCCGACGGCACGCTGATTCACGATCAGCAACGAGGTCTTGATCGATGGGCTGAACATTTCAAGGCTCAGTTCAATTGGACACCATCGACATCTGAACTGTCACTCTCCACCGCGACTGCGCAAATTCTGCCAGTCGATGCCAGTCCTCCACCTGAAGTGGAGGTTTCCAGGGAAATAAGCTATCTCAAGAGGTATAAGGCCTCAGGCCCATCCGTTTTTAAGGATGGAGGCTTAGTATTGGTTTCGGAGTTAAAAAACTCCTGAGCTCAGTGTGGGAGAGAGAACAGGTTCCTGCTGAATGAATACCGATTTACAAGAAAGGTGACAGATCCTCCTGTGAAAACCACAGAGGAATTAGTTTACTACCGATTTACAAGAAAGGTGACAGATCCTCTTGTGAAAACCACAGAGGAATTAGTTTAATTAACATTGCTTCTAAACTTCTCGCTGGTATCATACTCCGTTGATTGTCTGCCGCTCGTGAAGAGTGCACACGTGAGAATCAGGCTGGTTTTAGACGTAATCGAAGTTGTATCGACCACATCTTCACTCTTCGTCAAATTCTAGAACACAGACACCGCTTTCGTAGACCTACAATTTCTATCTTCCTCTATCCGAAAGCGGCTTTCGACTCAGTCGACCGCTCAAAACCCTGGCGCTGCTTTTCCCTGAAGGGTGTGCCCGAGAAGTTTATTTCAATATTACGATCTCTTTATAATAATAGCCGAAGCCGAGTTTGGGCTTACGGCACTTTTTCACCCGAGTTCACCACGGAAAGTGGTGCTCGACAGGGTTGCCCTCTCTCTCCTTTTCTGTTTAACTTTGTTATAGATTTCATTCTTTAGGTAGCCCTCTTCTCATGCGGGGAAAGAGAAATCGACTTGCTCCCAACTGGCAGACTGTCTGATCTGGAGTATGCAGACGACATTGTGCTAATAAGCGAAGATTCAGGTAAGTTGCAAGCTTTTCTGGATAGTTTCAGTGCTAGTGTAGCGATGTTCAGTATGCGCTTTGCATCTTCAAAATATAAAATGCTGCTCCAAGATTGGGTTGTTCCAGTCTTCAGCCTCACCCTGACCGAGGGAGTTGTAGAGAAAGTATTTAAGTTTTGCTTCTTGGACAGCGATATCTCACCTGGTGGACGCATCACAGATGAAGTGTCGGCGCGCATACATAAGGCTCGGTTGGCATTTGCCAACTTGAGTCATGTGTGGCGCCGTCGCGACATCCCGTTGTCTGTGAAGGGTCGAGTATATGCTACAGTAGTTCGGCCAGTTCTGCTACATGGAGCAGAAACTTAGCCATTAAGAAAACAGGACAAAGATAGACTGTCGGTGTTTAAACACCGCTGTCTACGTAGCATTGCACGTGTCGCCCACTGGAGCAAGTGGTCGACCTCCATAGATTCCGTTGATTGGGGCATGTGTTACGCATGTCTCCAAATAGGCTGCCACGGCGAGCGATGTTTGCTGACGCAGGTAGTGGGTGGAATAAAGCCCAAGGTAGTCAAGATAAGACCTGGCATGAAGGTATGAAAACCCTAACCAGGAGTTTAGGTCACACAGGTCTTGTTAGGCTCCCTGGATGGGGACCTCGGGATGGTCGTACCCAATGGTGAAAGACACTGAATGATATGGCTGGGTGTCGTAAATAGTGGCGTTCATGCATTTTCTCAATTTCTCTGTATCATTAATCCACTAAACTTTTCAATTTTCTCTTCGATCCTACTTTCAACCTTTCCCGTCTTTCTCCTAATGTTCATCCAAATGGACAGCTGAAAAATAGCAACCAAAACCGGCGCACTAGAGTGCACGGTTAATGGTTGTGTAAACTGAAACTGAATAGTCTTTAGCATGAATTTGTTACACCCGCTTCAAAGTATGTTCTCACTCAACTTTTCTCATACATTTACCGAAATCGGTTGCATCTTTTGGATACCCATTTCGAATTTCGAAATCAGTGCCACGATATTCTTTATTCCAGTTTAGGGGTCGCTATTTGCCTCGTCAATGATTATATCTTCTAATTTGTTTGACTGAATTGTTATTTAAAGGTAAATTAATCACTCGTACCCCGAAGTGTTTGCGCGTCTTCATCCATTCAAGAAGTGTGTAGATTTAAGTAACATATAGTCTCAAAAATTAAATCGCACCACCGATATTTGTGAGATGAAATAGCATCAAAAGCCAAAGATAAATTTATAGACTGTGCTTTATGCAACGTACCTGCATAGTGTCCAGTAATTTAGCCATGATCGGAGGGTTACAAGTTTTGGCCAATGAGAATGAAACTTGCATAATGCACGGAAATTCACTCTCCAGTCCACCGAAATCCAATTCATTAGGAGATTTCTTTTTATTGGCAAAAAATTGTTTCAATGCGGTTGCAAACTCAATACAATAGTGCAAATTCAACTGATCCATGGAACTTGAAAAACTCTGTTGGTAAATATGAGCACAATAGTGATTATTTACCCACATTGTTTTTTATACCAGGGGATTCCACGTCGTTGTTCAGCTTGAGAGCTGGAAGAGGAACACATAGACTCTCGCGGTTTTGGCTATTAACTAAAAGTAAAAAGGTTTGTATTGCTCTTCACGCGTTAACCGGATGAAACTCACGTAATCCTCGATATTCTTCCTTCTTAATTGTGGCGAAAATTGACTGCAAGTGAGTTGGAAGCAGCTGAATCGAATTGTCTACATCCGTGACAGAAATGGTCTCGGTGAAAATCTTCAGTACTTGAGCCGCAATTTCCTCCTCTTCACCCGGTTCACTATGTGTGAGTTTTTCCAATATAAACATCAATACAATAGACAAGTCTTCTGTGGTCAGTGTCGCTTCCGGATTCTCTTTTAGCACATCATGTAAATTTTCTATGCATAATACCCGCTTCTGTCTGTTCCAACCCATGGCAAATACACAGGACACGAGCAGACGAACAATCGGAGCAAGTTTTCTGGTGCTCATCAAATGATAAGCGAAACAATCCCAGATAGTGGCCTGGGCCTCATCCGCAGACAGAAACATACAAATCAGTTCGGGTTCGGCTGCGGTGATCAGACGGTTTTTCAAAACATGATTAGAATCCGAGGACATTATACGGGCGTAGATACGAACACAAATTAGTTTCACGTCAAGTGAACGGGAATTGTGCAAAACTTGGTTCAATACGTGAGACAATATTTCGGTTGACTTCAATGACAACGCGCTCAAAGATTGCTTTTGTGAAAAATATCGTTCCAGAGTGAAAATGGCTTCAAGCATCATTTCCTCATTATTCATATTCTCCATAATATAATCGCATAGTCTCCGTTCCGTTGCTGAATCGCTTTGCACCGTCAGTAGGTTCAGCTGTGGCTTGCGAATCATGATTATTGTCCGATCAAGCAATGAACAATAGGAAATTCTCAACGTAGGTGAAAATGAAAAACGTGAGTTGCTTTTAACTCCTCCCAGTTCATGAAACTATGACGGCTATTAGTGATCAAATATTACATCCGTTCGTGCACGGTGCCACACTTATATACTCAATTAGTCTCCGGTTTGCTTCTGTATCTGTATTTATACCCGTTAAGGGTTTTAGCCAAGTAAATAATTCTGGAAAACAAACAAAAGGTGTAATTTTGAGACCCTATTTAAAGAATGATTTCAAAGTGATCGCATCGAACTGAGAAATCATCATCTTGATCCTGGAAAACTGTCAGTTTGATTTCAAAATGGAAGGTCATGGGTAACTTCGGGTGCGTTTAGCGCATCTCATCAACCAGGTGGTTACAAGTCTTTCTAGCTTATTATCGGTCACCTACCCATGATCTTTCACAGTGAAAACACGACAGACCTCAGTCGATAAGCATTGTGTTATGCGCGCTGACGTATGCCAATCCGGTGGATTGGTGGGTTCATTTGGTTTGCATATGACAATTAAGCTGACCCAAAACCGATAAAGGAAATTAATGGTGCACTACATACTGTCTTTGGGCTAACGCGTTCATTTCAATCATCCGGCAGATAAAGCTTTTATGCCGATCTCTAAATAACAACATCTGTCTCGTAGACACAAAACGGAAACGGACGGCCATCCTTCCGACGACACCATCATGTACAATCAATCCTCAGTTTATCCGATCAATCTTGAGTGATTCTTAAGTGTGTGCTTGACTGGGTGAATTGAGGATTGTGTATAAAAATGACTTCTAAAAAGTGATCAATCCAAATCAAAATTATCTATTCCACACCACTACTCCCAAATAAATTCGAGGAAAAATACATAAGTTGAGAAAAATCTATATATATTTATCACTCACGCTTTACCAGCTGAGCTAAGAGGTAATTGAATGTGGAAAGATCAGTGCTATCGGTGTTGCCTGGTAGCTCAGCTGGTAGAGAGTGCGCTGTACAAAAAGCGTAGACGGCGTTCATGCGTGGGTTCGAATCCCAACGAGGCTACTGAACTTTTCACAAACTCGACATAAAAAATTCAATCTGCCAAAAAACAATTTGAACGACTCAGTAGTCTCAGTCTGAATAAAGTCAACCACTTGTTCCTGTGAAACAAATTCCATGGACTGCACGATTAACCGGTTGTCCCAGCGGACTCGTAAGCAACAATTAGCGAGGCTAAGTAACAGGGCGGCCCAGACACTCAATAAAGAAATAATATCACGCCTAAATCAAACAAATCAAACTATGAATGTGATCTAGGCATTTCACACTCTATTTAAGATTTGCAATCGGCAAACATTGTAGGTTTTCTTTCTTATGTTAGTAACAGAACAAACAGCAAGAATTTGTCTCTGGAACTCCCTTTCTGTGCCCGAGATGATTTTACGCACGTATCTAAGACCCCTTGGTTTACTTCCTACAAACATAACATCCCTAGTAACATCCCTAGTAATCTCAATGATTGGGTAAATTAAGATAAAAGTATGTTGTCATTGTGAATTTCAGATCAGGTCTGCATATGAATCTGATCTGTAGTAATCCGTATCCTTTCCTTCTACCCGGTCCAGTTTTGTGTTTGATTGTTGATATATTTTGATGTATTGGTATGATTACCAGCCAATGAAAACAAGCTCTCTTGTCACTATTTAGAAACTGCTATGTTTTGAGAATTAATTAGGCTTATAGAGTGACACTCCCTTTTGTCAGTCCAAATAGTTATCGGATAGCAGTTATTGTTGCCTTTTGATTCCACACATTTCTAATCAGTATACTTCGAAGGTAATTGGTCACTAAATGAGAAGATAACAGATAACAAACAAGCTCTTTTTAAAAACGCTGTCTGACTTATTCCGGGGAAAAAAAGTAACCTTGAGGAACTCGATTCAATATTCTCGGAATCACTAAAAGCACTATATTAAAGAGTAAAAAATAAAGAGTATGAAAGCATGATAAACCGTCACGGTGAAAGTGCTAAGCTGGTATAACGCAAGAACATAAGGTTGAAAATTGAAGACGTTTAAGGTGACTCTGGATTATACCAAGTCCGAGAATGGTTATCACGCCATTCCACCTCTTCTCTAAACCAAAGTCATTGGAAGAGTATATTATAGACTAAGATAGGCTCTTAGAAATATCATTTTTGTTGTCTACGCCTATGGAAGATCAAGCGTTATGACTAGATGGAATAGTGGAAGCTATCGAGGCACTAGAAACCAACAAAATAGAAGAGGAAGACAGTCTGCACTTTGTAATAATTAAGCCTTCACTTTACTTCAATTACACACAACAAAAGCAAGCCGTTTGAAGTCCGTTTTCTAGACGTTCAAAAGACGTTTGTTTAATTAAATTGTCGTTTTATGCTAAGAATACTTGAGAAATAGGTTGTCCCATGAGGATAAATTACTGCATAAAAGGCTATTTAGAAGACAGGTCGTTTTATGTCCGGATCAAACAGGAGAAATTCGGCCTGGTCTGAGCTTGCAGTGACTACCCTTAAAAGTTGGTCCTTGGGCCTTTGTTCCGTCTCATGTACACAAACGACAACCTAACATACCGCACACCAAAATTCTTACTTTTGGATGATTTGAAGAATGTAAGAAGTCCTCCATACCCTAATATCTAGATTGAACTTTGAGTGGGTCACATAGAAAACCTCAAGTAACTAAAAGAACTGTGGATACTGAACACAAACCACCTACCCCTAAGTCAAAACACGACACTAAAGGGATAGGATCTCGTGGTGGCCAAACCTTGAGCTATCCACAGAGTGGGTTTTACCGATCGGTTTCAATAAGTTAAAGCATACATTATCTGGTCTAAGGTATACCATATTCTTTCCAAAGGTTTCTTTACTGTAATAACCTTTGGAATCGTTTTTGTTCATATTACGGTTTGTATAAGCTTTTAACGTGCTTAACGCAATTCGAACTTTGCTTATTTTGGCCATTTTCGAATATATAACGTGATGCATTTTCTTATCTAAACCATTCATGTGGGTAAAATTGGTTATTCTATCAAGAATATGCACATCAACAATACACGAGTTTAACTGCAAAGATTTATATTTATATACGTATATAACACCAATCTCTACCGGTACGGCGCCAAATTTAACATGGGTTGAAAGAGAAATACAGAAACAGTAGTATGCTGAGATATTGTAACAGCATCTTATGAAGGATACATAGCACATGTTGAAAGTTAACCCAAAGCGAAGAAGGCTGTGAAGAAGCAGCCCAAAACGGAATCCATGATGCCCCGCAAAACCAAGGACAGAGCACAGTAGACAGATTGCACTCCACTTCTGATAGAGAGCAAAATTAATAAGTCAAGAGTGGAAGTAAATCATGCCAGGGCCAGTAAGAAAGCAAAAGGATATGTATAAGTCGAACTTGGTGCTCGTCTTCACTTGACAGGAACCCATTATCAGGGAATGGAAACCCTCCGAAAAATTAATCAGTCGTACGGAACTAGATATTCTACGGTTAGCGGTCCTGAATCCTCGAACCAAGCTAGAGTCCATCACGTTAGAATTTGTAAACAACCAAAACTCCAATAGGACTTAATCCACCAGGCCAGACCCAGTGAAGTTCAAAGAAATGGGGCGAGGGGAACTGCTTTTGCTTATAGCAGCCCCTATAAACGAGAGCTTAAATAGGGTGCTAAGACATAACTCCCAATAACCCAAATCCACGGCACAACATAGAGTATCGGTGAATTAATATTGGACACATGAAGCACGCAAGTCTAATGCCAGTCACATCACTCAGAAATGATTTGATTATAGAGAAATAGATTGCAAATGAGGAATAGACGACTTGCAGATAAAATGGAGCTCGTGTAATTCTGGAAGAAAAATTAACGCTTATAATGCTCATATGGACGCTGATGCACGGAAGAACTCCAAAATATCTGCCAAAAAAGCATTACTCCTCTGGCACCGAGCCCCAGACAAAAGGAATAGCAAGGTGCGATAGCTGCCCATTACTGGAATAGAAATCGGTCATAGCATGGACGAATTCGTGTAGCATCCAGAACAAAGGAACAGAACTAGGAACGATGGCTAAGGATCTCAAAGCCAAAGTGATCACAATCTGAGGTATATGCATAATCGAAAGCTGACAAATACGACTGATCATCATGAACTGTTTTGCGATTCACAAACAGGTGATTGGAGGGAAATTTCAGAGTGAACGTGCAGCAAAATAGGAATGCTCTCGCAATGTGCATGTTTGTAATATATGTCGTTCAAAATGAACAGAACGACCATATCTTGTCCACAGAAGTCCAGTAGCTATCAAGGATGAAAACTAGCAACTAATCGAGGCACTGGACTTAGTAAAACAATCCCAATAAACTGTGACAGTCATAGGTCGTTTCAACTGGCCAGGACTGCAGACACTGAAATCTACCTTGAGGGTAAACCTGAAGAAACATTTCTGAAGCGGTTTCATCCAAAAGTCCTGCTCCAGCAATTACAGGATAACGTAATATTAGGAACTGGATAACCCTATTTTTCCTGCATCTGGTATTCAATACATAAGAAGAGACTTGGGTTTTAAATGATACCCACTGGTTAGAACCTGGGATCTACTAATAAAGATAAGCTCAACTCCAGGAAGTCGAAAACAGCTAAAATGAAGAGTGGAAATTTCAGCAAAATAAATACTGCAACTTTGCAGTCAAGAGCAAATGAATAAGAGTAATAATTTAGAAGTAATCACATCACTGAAGAAGAACGGTGCAGAAAACTAGAAAAAATCAACAAATCAACAAATAGGTTGCATCTCTCAAATACACAAACGAGGGTACTAAGGCTTCATTATGGTGTCCTGCAATGCGTCGCGCACTAAGAAAACGGAACAGGACCTGGATCCACTAGTAAGATACAAAGCCCAGTGTCTACGGTCAAATCATGCAACCCAACG